TGATGACTCTTCTCCTGGGCTTTCTGCAAGTAATCTTTGCCCAGCTCTCCACTGTCGATCATCTGCCGGATGACCCCTTTAACACTCTTGCATTCGGAGGTGTTATGGGAATCAGACCTGTGGTACGAACAATAGGTGCCCGACCACTGCCGCCCTACTTGACCGGTAGGGTTTTCTGGAGGAATGACCGGTGCTTTCCGGACTTCTTGGCATTCTTCTGTATTGACCACTCGGATGACCGGGTCATAGTGGTGCCTCGGCCGGCTAGGTCCCGGTGCTTCTTCCTTCTTGACTTGCACCGGCTTGGGCTTGTGACCATGCTCAGCTTCTCTCTTTGCCCGGAGCTGGGTTTCAGCTTCAGCAAACTCCCATGCATTATGGTAGGCCTCTTGGTACGTGGCTGGGGGTTTCCGGCAGAACTCCTTGTATAGTTCCTCAGCACGCAAGCCATTCAAGAGGAGGGAGAGGACGGTCTTGTCATCCATCTCTTCCACCTTGTCTACCTCTTCCTTCCACCGGGTAAGGAACTGAGTGAGGTTCTCAGACTCCCTCTGCCCGGCTGTACTAAGATAGGTGAACTTCTTCCTCTTTGTACAATTTTTCTGGAACTTGGCCTTGAATTTTGAGGCCAAATCACTGAACGAGTCAATGCTTCCCGGGCGAAGCTTATTGAACCATTCAGTGGCTCGGTTCCGCAAGGTCTGGAAGAAAAGTAGGCACTTTTCTTCATCGGTGCAACCGTTCATGGTCGCACTCTGGTTGAAGGAGTCCAGGTAGATCTCCGGATCTTCCTTCCCGGTGAATCTGGGGGCGTCGATCTTGACCTTTCGCGGGAAAGGTGTCAGATGGACCTTTGTGGTGAACGGGGACCCTGCCAGGGGTTTGTCCCGGTCATTCTTCTCCCCGACCTTCTTTTCCAGCCTTTCCAACTTTGCCTCCATCCGTTGGACGCGGTCGTTTGGGATGGTTAACCGGTTCGCCACCGGTAACCTGGGCTGGCTTTCTGCCTCCCCTTCCTGGTGGAAGGCCCTCGTCCTAGCTGGCTCCTTCCGGTTAGACCGGGAGCGTCGGGTGCGGGCAGGCCCGGCCTCCCGCACCTCGCCTAGACGGGCGAATGCGCTGACATGGGCAACACTCTGCCCCAGCCTCTGCTTGGCTGACTTCCTCTGGCCTTCCTCCCTATCCCCCAGCCTTTCGAAGGCGGAGTTTCGGGAGGTCGCTGGCCGGATGTTTTTTCCTTTCTTCTTCTTGTGGGCCCTCGGGATGTCCCACTCGCCGTCATCGCTCTCAATCGAGACGCAATGACCATCAGGAGTGACCTGTGGATCCGTAGCTTGCGGGGGACGCGACGGCCCTACAGCGTTAAGTGCACCGGCCAAGTTGACCGGGGCCATGGTGCTGACCAGCTGGGGCTGGAAAGGTGATGGTTGCGGCATCGGCGTCTGGAACGACGTCACCGCCATCGGAGCTTGTAGAGGCATGGTCCCCGCGCCTGGAAGGGCGAATGGGAACATACCAGGGAGGAAAGGCATCCCCCCGTTCTGTTGGCACATGGCCATGACCTGGCCAAAGCCCTGGATGGCTTGTAGGTTGGCTGGGTCATTCATGAACTGAGCCATGCTCAGCGGGAACGTTACCCTCAGTCCAGCGGAAGGGACGGGGGTCACGAAGGGACTGATCACGCTGGCCGTCGGGACAGAGCTCAGGCCCAGAGGCAACACCGGGGCTGAAATGACTGGAATGGTAGCAGCCACAGGGATGCTGGCGCCCTCATTGGTGGCTTGCACCTGTGCGGAAGTAGCGTTGATTCGTTGGCTGGAAGACATTTCGAGTGGCGTTTTGGTGGGTAGGTTTGTGTTTGGGAGAAGAAACCTCAACGGTCCCACGGTCGGCGCCAAAAATGATAGTGTAAATTACTTGACCGGTCAAACTATACTAGACCGGATCTAGAATAGTTCGTTTGATTTGGCAAAGTAAGAAAGGTAAAAACACGCAAATTGACCAGTAGGACTTTAGGTGGAACACCTGTAGCCCAATTTATCTTATAACGGAGAATGCACGGGTGCTTTTACAAGGGAGTTTAGAGAGAATGAATTCCCCCCCCCCCCTCATTCGAGGGTTACAAGAGGTATATATACTAGGCTGGGGAGCAGGACCACGTGCGCCCACGTGGGGGCATACTGCTGGCGTGGTGTGAAGTGACTGGCTCTGAGCTGCCTTGTCATCTTGCGCGGGGGGTGGCACCCTTGTCGCGTTCTGGTTTGGAAATATTCCCTCAGCATCCCTGCAATTCCAAACACTACAGTCCAAGTCCTTTTGGATTCCTCTTGCCGACACTTCCCCAATCTCTAGGAACTACGCCGGTTGGTTCTTGCAGGTTGGCGTGGCCATCTTTGTAGGGTGAATTAGTCGCCGGTATAGTTTGGCCGGTATA